GAGAGAGAGAGAGAGAGAGAGAGAGAGAGAGAGAGAGAGAGAGAGAGGGAGAGAGTTAGCTATACGGGAGTAGACTTTTGCACACATTTATGATGAAATAGTTATAAAGCCAAGGAAACGGAAGTCCAAGCGCGTGTGTGTGTGGGCAAATGAAGAGTGAAGGAGGCTTGTGCAGGCTTAAGTCACGGGGCGCACGACTCCTTCACACTATGAAAGAGCGTAGCGTAAGTTTAAATTATTGTAAGAGGTTTGGGAACGTTCTTTCAAAAACGCGTTGTAATCCCCGAGGGGAAACGATAAACTTATTAATACAATAATAACATAATTGTGAAGGCATATCTTAATTAGATTTATGTATTTCTTCGTATACACAGGTTTACTTCCAGAACTCAGCAAGCTGTCCAATATGTTCTTTTTAAAACTACGCTTACGATGGGATTTACTGTCATCAGCGGTGGTTTCCCTATGCTATATGTAAATATTTAGGTATAGCTAAATATATCAGTATTGGAACCTTTAATTCTGACATTATGTAATTTTGAAATGCAGTTACAATCTCATGTTCTGATTCCTCAATTTATATCCATGATAATGGCCGCTTTGCAACGAATGTACATCACAGCATGGGCAGCCGATGATTTGAAAGAAGTTGTAAGTTTTATAAGAAAAAAATAATAGAAAAAATTCTGTTTACGGGAGTAGCAGGTGCACTATAAAGAGAACAAACATAATCGATAAAGATAAAGATTAGGGGTGGGTGTAACGAAAGAAAGTCTATTTTATTCAGCACTATATTTAATAAAGGCAGTCACTTTATGTACAAGTCACAATGTTCTTTCCCGTGACCAACAGAGTAGACACAAGCTGTGCACAATGGATCACAAAAGCTATGCTGCTCAATAATAATTATGGCTTACTCTCGAACAGCTTTTAAGAATCTATTATAATAATTCACTATGATAGAATAAACAATTGGTTGCAAAATCAAATTTTATTTCTATTTTTTCATTTTTGATCTTGCGACGATTTTTCTCTTTGCTTTAACTGGCTTCCGCTCTCCCGTGATACGTGGACGGACGGGTGTTGCCGTCCCGCTCTCGCTGTTGCGCGCGGGTCTTACTCGGAGGTGCGCGCCGACGACGGGGAGTGTGGTCGCCGGGCGCGAGAAGCGCGAGATGCGGACGGATCGAGTCGTCGTCAAAAACCGCGGAGGAAAATGATAACGCGCAGGGAAGGAGCGGGATCTCGGTAGCTCCGCGCGTACCGTGCCGCGAGCCGAAAACTCCACGCGATAGACGAAGATGGGGCGCCAGACGCGGTCTTTCACGCGTCACGTCGCGAAATCCGCGAAATCGCACAAACGATATGGAGCGGCCCGCGTCACGGGCAGGCTAGCTCGCCTAACGGTAGAGGGACGGGGCGGTGGTTGACACTAAAAGATTACAGAGGCCACGGGACTTAACTTCCTCTTACGACGGACGAGACACACGAAGAGGGAGACGTACACGAAAGAAACTCGCTAAAATAAAAGAAATAAAATCGGGTTTATTACAAGGAGGCGTTACGACGCCGGTTAAGTGGCCGCGGTAGCGGGCGGCCTCGTCGGCGATGCTCGTACTGGCCCCGAGACCGGGGGGGGGGGGGAACCAGTCGGCGCGGAACTCTAAGTCTTCCGGCGCGAATCCGACGGCAAAATCCCTGTGCGCGATAACCCGACTCTAAAAAGACACGGACGCAGAAACAATAATTTCCTCGCGAACGGTACGAGTACCGTCGCCCGCGAGGCACTCGGCCGGGGCGCTTCGCCCGCGAGACTGGGTGCTCGAGCCGGATCGGCCCGCCTCACAACGACGTGCAATTCTACGCCGGGCAGTCCCCGACGGCTAACTACGCTATTCTCGCCCGGCCGCACCGGCCGCGTTGGTCGGCAGGGGGTCTCGCTTCGGACGCTCCGTCCGCACGAAACCCGCCACCGGCAGCGGCGGAAGCGGCACGGGGCACCGCAGGCACTCACGCAGTCGTCCGCACTCTCTCAATCGCCGGGACTCCACGGCGACGCACCTTCACGTCGCGCATGCACGCGACACTCCCGCGGCATGCGTACCCCGCGTGATCTCGCGCAACGCAACCCTCGCGCCGCGAATCTCCAGATCGGCAGACTCTACTCCACGCGACCACGACACTCGACTCGAACACGCTCACTCACACACACATACGCGAGACCTGCAGGCTCCGGGGGAAACCGCGGTTGCTTGTTGCCGCGACCGGGACACCAAAGAAAATCTAAAGCCGACGGGCCGTAGCCCGGGCGACACCAAGCGCGAAATTTTCCCGGCGGCGACAGCAACCTGGGCCCGGACGCAATCGTACGGGGCGGAACGGACGGAGGAGGATCTCACCGGCACCTCGGCTCTCCCGGGATCGGCAGGTGGCAACGGCTCGTCGCCTGGGCTCACGCGGGAACTCCCCAAATCGGCGGGAAAGCGACGGCAGCGGCAGACCGGGGTCCTTC